ACGGTGGGAAGTAGCACTATCATCCATTTTCTTTTCATTTTGAGTATGGAATAAATCATTAGAAGAAGTCGATAGGGTTTGTTCTTACAGTTTTTGTAGAGCTTTTCACGGCACATCTTTTGCTATAAAAACCAAGATTTGATCATTTGTCTGTGCAGAGAATTATTTTTGAAACACTCGGTATTTCACAGTATTTAATATTTTGATTATAATACCGTCATTTCTCAATGAAAATCAAAATGTTTTTTTTTACCAAAATGATCAGCGAAAAAAGTTCTACAAAATCTGATAAAATGAAAAAATTTCTGCATACTTTGTGTTTTTCGTGGTTGACTGACCGTGGAAGTATCCTATAACAACAATATCATTTTGTAGTTTTTTTATGTTATTTTTTTTCTTATTGTATTTCATATTCAAGAGTTTTTCGAATCGAACCGGTGTATATATTTATATAGTACTCGATCTCTGCTATCCAAACATATAATAATTGGATAAAATTAATCTTATGTAGCTTTAAAACACAACTCAAAATAAAAAAGTGCGCCAAGACTTTTGACGTGCACTATATGTGAAGCATTTTCATCATCATTGAAGATGAGAAATGAATCTTTCAAATACAGACTAGAGAGAAAAACATTTTCAATTTTTCTTTTTAATTGCGAACTATAGTTAACATATAAAACATTCGCATCACAGTTGGAGATGAGAAATGAATCTTTCAGATACAGACTAGAAAAAAAAGCATTTTCAATCTTTCTATTTAATTGCGAGCTATGGTTAGTTATCAAGGCATTTTTATAAAAGTTCGAGATAATGAAATGAGCTTCTGGACATAAAGAATAGAAGAAAATGCTTGTCAATCGATGTATTTAATTTCAGACTACAGTTAGAATATAAGGCATTTTCATCACCATTGGACATTAGAAACGAAGTTTTGAGATAGAGAATAAAAGAAAAAAAGATTTTACAATCTATTTATCATTTAATTATGAACTAAAGTTAGATTTCGACGCATTTTTCCAAAGGTAGAAAATGAAAAAAGAACCGTTGAGATTGAGATTAGAAAGTTAATTATTTTACTGTAATCGTCATATTTATGTAACTTATGTTTATAGGAAGAAAGCACTTATAATTTGAGTTAGAGAAATGAAATTTATATTTATGAAGCCATATTAACAATGGTAGTAAAGTACGTGGCACTGAATCCTGTAATATCATTGACTCATACAGTAAGTAAGAGTTTTTCTCAGTTATGTGGCAGTAGCTACGGTAGCTGAGTCACTGGATAATTAACAATTTGTTTTGTGAAATATTTTCGAGGAAAAGTTTGCTGCGATTTCAGACACTTCGAATACAACAGTTTAAGAACAGAAAGGAACGTCGCTCATTTTGGCACATAATTAAAGTAGAATAGAGTTTTTCGCAGTGTACTATATGACCTTACACTGTTCATTGTTTTTTTTCTGATACCATATCGGTACCATATATCATTAGCTTACTGGTATATGTTTTCTTAGAGATTTAGAACGCTGCTTTTGTTCTCTATTTACTGATTCTTAGTGTGTATTTCCTGATATATTCTTTTGATTTATTTTAAACATATATAATCATTGACATTCATTAGGGAAAACAGTGCGAAACGGAACAAAAATAAGCAAACAATTGACTTATCAAATTTTCCTGTTCATTTTTTCGGCGATCTATTGAATTTTAAAATGTCATCGTCCGAGGTCGATTTCGTTGCATACATTAATAATATTTCGGCTCAAATTAATCGTTATTTTTCAATTTTCATCTTTCTCTTTGGCATATTGGGTAATATTCTCAATATTCTTGTTTTGTCACAGCGACTTTTTCGGAAAAATTCATGCGCAGTACTCTTTCTAGTCTCATCTATAGCTAATTTTATTGCTATTCTTTCGGGTCTTACTTCACGAATGTTGTCTGGTTGGGCAGCTGACCTGACAAATACTGACAGATTTCTTTGTAAACTTCGAGCTTTTGTTCTCAATGTGGCAAGACCTGTGGCATTTTGGCTCATACTATTAGCAGCTATAGATCGATGGCTATTATCAAGTCCCAATGTTCGTCTTCGACAGATAAGCACATTGAAAAATGCACAGCGAGGTATGATTATCATCATAATTGTCTCTACGATTCTTTTTTCTCATATTATATACTGTTATGAACCAAATTTGATTAATGCTCCTTTGAAATGCTATGGAATAACATTAACATGTCGTTTTGTCACGGATATATCTTTTATGTTCGTCACTATTCTGATTCCAATTCTATTTATGCTCATCTTTGGTTTAATGACCATCAGGAACATACGTCACTCGCGACGTCACATTCGACCTAAAGATGTAACGACTACATATAACACATATCAAACGAATGGAAATCAAGGAAAACAGCGAAACAAGACTGATTCTAAACTTCTTCTTATGCTTCTCGTGCAAGTTGTTCTTCTCTTTATTTTTGGTCTCCCATTGGGTCTGCAAAAATTATATGCAACTATAACGGTGAATAACATCGCATCCAAATCACAAGTTGCTATTGACAATTTTGTCTATAGTTTCGTTCTGCTTCTTAATTTTTTGGCCAATGGAATGCCATTTTATATTTACACAATGGTTGGTGGAAGTATATTTCGAACAGAACTTATGAAAGTATTATTAGCAATAAGAAAGAAGATCTTTTGCTATTGAAGATTATTTCATGTACGAAATAAAGACCTTTCAACATAAAACACTTGTATTATTTAATTATTAAAAATAAAATAAGATGAATCCTTTAAAGAAACATATGAATATTACAGTAAAATGCTCACAAACACAGCACATAACTACAATGACTGTCAAAATACCCAGTCATTTCATAAAATTTTTTGAAAATCTCAAAAATGAAAGATACTGATGAACTACTATGATTATTTTCTTACTAGATTTCATTGGGTTGTTGTCGATTGCGTCAAATATGAGCAGAACAAAATATGAATCTGTGTTAAGCCGAGGGTGTGAGGTGTTGGTATGGGGTGCGTGAGTTCTCTTCACCCTCACACCCACACCCCAATTCATGAACATCCTCTGCATATTTTTCTCCAAATTCTGGTGATACTGTAGGAAGTAACCACTATCGACTAATGTCGAGAAAACATTGCAGATTATTCTCGTGAACCCTTGAAGTTCGTTTTTGCCCTTGGCTCAGAGACTTTTCATGATTCTCAAAATTCTATCGCTTACTGATGTCTATTCTTATGTTTTTTAAAATCAATTCTTGCATCATTCAAAATGCTTTCGATATATTATTTGAAATCGTTCTTGAAATCAAAATTTCTATTCAATACAAGTTTTTTGCATGCCTTTTATGTTCGAAATCCAACTCGACAATAAACTGAAACTTTGCGAACATTTCCATACATGTCAAACTTGAAAGTTGAGTTCAATTAAACACAAGTGGAAACTTAAAAAGTTGAAATTCGAGTTTCACGTTTCAAATTTCAAATGAACACAAGCTGAAACTTGAATCGTAGCTATTAAATTGAATTCAACCTTCGGTTTTGACACTACTTTGCCATCTCCTTTGGAAAATCTTTTTCGAATTCGAAATATTCCAATATTTTATGTCCACACAACTTTGCATTTTCATTATAGTGATCTGAAGCTAAAATTTGCAACTTTTCCTTATTCGAGTTAAAAAGGCATAAAAGAAAGAGTAATAGCGTATATATGCATAACGGGAATATTTTTTTTTTGGAAGAAGAAAAGCAACATTTACAACTAGAATGACAACAAGAGAAAAAGAGAGAGCTATAAATAGTGCGAGAAGGAGAGAACGATTAATATTAAACTTCATTTGTATCAGCAGTAACACATATTTGTTGACTATTTAAAATATGGAGGAACAACAGCTTGTACTTCTTTGTGAAGATGAAGACTCACATTTTGATGATTTTCACAATTCTAATGATGATTCAAGTGTGGAAGATACCTTGACTATTGATAAATGTATGGTATGGGATACAGATATGAACGTGGATGCATTAGTATCGTGGAATAAATAATCCATACCTACCTACATTCACACTCTACTCACATCCTTATCCAATATGAGCAAAAATTCCAGTCTAGTCATCTTTGGTACTTCATAAGCGTGCTCTCAAGCTGCAGCTTCATATTAATTGATTTCCATTGCTCAAAGCCTATTGTAACTTTGAAAGAGCTTTAAATATCAGTTTTTCAGAGATACATTATTTACAAGATATTTTTGAGACTCCAAAAGTTTGTTTAATAGAAAAGTCCCTTCTAAGATCTTCTCTGTTGAGTAAGTGTGCACTGAAAAACAACATTTTTGAAGACATAAAACATGGAAAGATCATTAGTCTTTCATAAAAGATGGATGCATTTGGAAGAAAATCGACTTCGTCCTAGCTTTTCTGTTTTCCAATCTAGGAAAATGATTTGAGATAGTATTCCTAATTAGGTTTTAGTTTGTTGTACTAAGAAAAGCATCTTCGTTGAGCCGGAGTTGTCTGTGAGCGACCATGATTAGTTCGTTTTTTGTTGACTTCCTCTCCGCTATGATGTGGTCGCTAATTCGTTGGACCTATTAGTACCTACAAGGCAAAAAGAATGACTATTTAATTAGTGAGAATTGATCTCTCGAGTAGTTTAAATTTTTATAGATGCTCTACAAGACTCTGCTTTAGCTGCAGCACTTGTGTGATTTCATATTCATTTTTTGCTGAACATGTTCCTTCGCTATTATTTTCATCTTTTTGATGACGATTCGATAATTGTTTTGATAGAAACATTTCCGAAGAAGGTATCAAAAAACATTTTTGAACTAGAAGAACAAGCAAAAATAACATGAATATTCTTGCAAAGTTTTCGAAAATAATTTTTCTTTCTTTATTATGAAAAATTGTATATGCGTACATTAAGATTATTGAGATACAAGCGAAAATGAGTTTATGCACAATGTGTGTAGTTGTGAATCTAGTAGTCCTTCAAGCATTCAAAACAAGCAATTTCTTCTAATGCGCAACAGCAGCACAAACATGCCAAACTGGAACAAGAGACACATGAACTAGATTTAACAAAATAATAGTTTAGATCTTACCAGTCAAAACAAACGCCACCGCCTCGAAGACCCTTTGGAAAAATATTGCGTGTTGAAAGAAGTTGTTCAATAATTGGAGTGGCCTTGCTTATTGGTTTCGTCTCTATTGGTAAAAATGAGTCATATTAGGACGAAATGAAAAGTAGAGCTACTCACGCGATGGATTTTGCTCGACCAGAGATAAGACTCTATAAACAAATAAATACGACTTGTGTAAAATTTAGCACTTGGTTATTCTACTCACGAAACAGGTTGCTCTTGAATACATAGAGCCATAATGGTAACAAATCACCTATACACGATGTTCCAATTTTTTATGGGTTCTATTTGAATGTAATGGCCAACATATCGCACATCTCTATTTATTCCTTTGCGACATTTTCTCTTTTCTCCTCTCTTACGCGTTGTTGATATGAATAATTGCACTAGTATCCGACCAAATAAATGGGACAAATTTCGTCCATCAAAATACTGCATACTTTTTTTTTTACTTTCCAATTGTTTGATGTGCAATGATTACTCATTATGTGAAATTAATAATTATGTAGTCCAACTACGAAAAATATGCTGCAAAGAATAGAGCAAAGTAAAGAGCTGTAAAAAATGAAATTATCTCTTCGATCTTTTTCACTATATGAGATAGACACCTATGTCTCAATTAAATTTAATGCGTAGATCATTAGAAGAAACAAATGGCATGTAAAATAATTGATTCCATCCTTTATAAAATTGCTCAAAAAAAGCTAGCGTTCAACCATCGCTTTATTGATTGACATTTACATCAGTAAAGATGCTGCTATATTTTTGGATGATAAAATCATGATTATTATTGCTTGTATTAAGTATTGTTCATTGGATATGCGTTCCTTGAACAATATTTCACGGTGATAACTTTTAGCAGCTGTTTCAACAAGTACGAGTTGTCAAAACATGTTATTTTTCGTATCGAAAAAAAAATTTTAATGTAATCCCTGCGGGATTAAAATGTGAAACACAAAGAAGTGACTCTACTGACTAACGAAGTTCTTATTTACTTTGATTATTGTCTACAACGGCTAGATAGGCTAGCATATTGAGATGTCTGTCACGGTCTGTGTGCATGTGTGTGTGTGCAGGGAGGTTCGAACTTGTTCGCTATATACGCCAACATTTATTTCAAACATTGGAAGTGTTAAAAATCATATACAACAACAACACATGAGTACTGTCAGAGAATATCCGTTATCAGACATTTAGTCAGAAGCTTTGAAAGAAGAAATCATAATTGAACAGAACCCATTTCAGATACAGTTGTGTGTGATGCACTCAAAGTCTTGTTCGTTCTTTTGAACTCTTGAATCACTTATCTGCTGTTGAATCATATAGCATAAGTGTCTCGAGTCCTAACGATTTAGATACCTTACTTTCATCACAACTGTGTGTTCTCCTCATATCAACATTGATCAAACTTCAAAAAGAGTGTGGGTGTGGGTGTGAATGAAGAGAAGATCCACACCCATACCCACACACCCATCCCACACCCACACTCACACCCTGCTGATCAACAATTTCACTTTGAAGGACAAGATGTAACTGCATATAATATAGCTAAATTTTAGCAGCATGATCATGTATGTGAAGCACTCAAAAGTTTTGATGCAAGACAACTACATTAGAGTACATTATCAAGTCACCTACAAGTTAATAAATAATCTCGTTCTACCACTAGATGTCTAAAATAACGTTCTGTTGTTTATATTTTATTTGGGATGTGGGTCTTAATCTTCGATTCATCAACCAACACCCTTCTCTATTTTTACATGTAAAACTAAGAAGAACAAAATGCTTCTAAAAATGGAAATATAAAAGTGGATAATTAAGAGAATAAACGTTACATATATATTCATATATATTGAAGAAAATTATTTTTTATTAGAAGATTACAATCGCATAATTCAGTCTCTTGATATACAAATGGGATTTAAAAGAAAAGTCTTTGCTAGTGATCTATTGTACAATAATCTATCGATTAACACAGAACATAGTCAGCTCCTAATTTCCAAGAAATTCAAATTTCTGCACATCTTTATATAATGGATGATACAGGTCAAGGAATATCGCTGCAATCATCTAGATTAAATATTGATGACGTGTAGGATATGGATGTGATTATTGATTAGAATATACTTTTCGTCCATATCTACATTCACATCTTAAACAGCCACTCAGAAATCGTCCACACTCAAACCTTCATGTACCAAGTATACCTTCATCCATTTCAAAAATAAACAAAAATTAAAAATTAAAAATTCAAACATATCCTTTCGAGTAAGCATAAAGAATAATCGTTTGAAAATTTATTTACATAAAAAAAAAATATAATCATACTAATCAAGTATTACTCGTTCTCATGTCTTTTCATTCATCGATGTTGTTTCATTCTCGAAAAACTCTGATTATTAGTGCAGAATACATGATCAATGACGACGCAGTTTACTAGTTTTTTTCTTCAGATCAGTTACAAGAAAGAGTTTTAGTGCCTTCAATATAGTTTGCTGTTCTCCGCGCATATATTCCAAATAAATCATATATTGTTCATTAAATCGATCAATTTCAATTTCTGTCACTTTGAAAAATGTTCGTGGACCAACTAACACTTCTTTTTCATTCTCATAATTCGATATACATGGTAGTTGATATTCAGGAATTTCACTTAAGTTTATTGCTGTATCACATGGTTGAGGAAAATGAAATATTAATAGAACACTTATTTTATCTAATGATGATGATGATGAAGGTTTTGCAGCAAATTGCTCAGCTACATCTCGATTAATAGATGTCGATGCAAATGTATATGCTGATAAAACACTATCTTTATTTTTCAATGCCCAACGATATTCATTTAATTCATGTCGAGTCAATTGAACACCGCGATAGGAATATCCTTGATAATAACGTTTTTTTAAATCTGAAAGATGCATAAAAAATGGAAATCCTAATGGACTTGACCGTTTCAATAATGAATGATAAAATGGTGCTTCCAATGTGTAGAGTTTCAATAAAGACTCAATTGTACCTTCTTGAATGTATTTGTTGAGTAGATGACAACAATGTTTATAGTAAGGATGATTTGAAGTAACATCTTCATCCAAGACTCTTTGTAAAGCTTCATGTCGAAATCTTTCACTTGTAACATAAGCATATTCTTCCTCACCATAACCGGCATCTTTGCTAAGTTTTAATTTCATTCCTCGTCCCATTATATATCGTCCGACTCGTGATTGTAAAAACGCTTTAACACCATTAAGACCATCTAATTGTTGTCCAACTTCTTCATTTGTTTCATAACCAATAAGATACCGTTTATCAGGTTTTGAAATACCATCGTCATCATCATTACCATTCATTTCAGTTTTATCAATTGATGATGAATATATTTGAAATGTTCGTTCAACAGCTATCGAATCATCATTAAATCGATTTTCTTTTGATGGTCGGTGAAAGAGTTCTCGCATTTCATCTGTTTGTGCTTCTTCATATGCCGTGAAACCATGACGATTTCGTAGATGTCGTTGACAACTATATGCATGTAGAAGTAGACGAACAATATCTACATGACCAAAATATGTTGCAGCATGAAGAGCCGTACTACCATTAGGCTCTAACTGATTCAATTGATCATAACGAATAGTAGGTAACATTTGTTTGACTGTATCTATATCTCCATTTCTACATGCAAAATAGAACTGACTTGCTTCTCCTACATGTGGCTCTTCGAGTACTTGTTGACGATTATTACGACGAATTTTTAATAATGATTTAAACTTTTTCTCCATTTTTTCTTTTGTTAAAATGAATATGCTAACTATAATGCTTCTACTTGCAGAGAGTTGATAAAATGAACTAAAATTAAAATAATATAAATATTAAGTTATATAATGTTCAATAGAACGAATTGAAAACTGTTAGAGATTTGTCCAGTATACGCAAACATATTATATGTTAGTTTTTTTCTCTATAAATTAAAGTGGTATTTTCCTTTCTATATTTTCGCACATTACATATAAGATTATTCCTTCCTCATGCGTGTCATAAATATGATCGTGCTGAACCAAAGGATATTCAGATTTGCTTCCTTTGTATTTTCAGTTAAAAAATTTAATTATATTCAGGCTAAATTATCACTCTCATCGCTAAACTACTAAATTTAAAATATTAGCTGCTGATCGCAGTCTAATATGAAATTATTCAATCCCTTAAAAACGATAGAAAACGATTTCAAGGATTGAATAATTTCATATAAGATAGCAAGCAGCAGCTAATATTTTAAATTTAGTAACTTAGTGATGAGGATGATAATTTAGTCCGAATATAGTTATATTTTTTAACCGATAATAGAAAGAATACAAATCGAGGTACCCTAAGGTTGACATCCCCATACATACATATATATATATAAACCTATATAATTATATATATGTGTCATATATGCGTATATAAATATGTGTCATATATATATATATGTGTATATATAGATTGTGTCATATATACGTACGTATATATGTATGTGTCATAAATATATACCTATTTTCTTTTCTGTATATCTTTTTTTACTTTGTTCTTCTCCTCATATTACATCATGATTAATATTATTTAATGAAACTGAACTTACATTCAAAAAAACTAACAAAAATTGCAGAAACAAAAAAAATCATGTTTGAAAATGAACGTTTACAGGATGGGTTTTGTACACTGGTAGACTACACATTGAAAAATGATTGATGGCTAATACGTTGTGATAAAGAACATTGCCATGATCGAATGAATATGTGCAGTTAAAGTATGTCACAAATATGAAAATGTATGTGTGCGCCGTTCATGTGTGACGGTAATCTGTCGATTAGTTACCTTGAGTTACCAATGGTGCTCCTACAAGATATGCATCTTGCCATAGTTTAGCGACAGAAAAAATAAACGTTTAAGTAGAAGGTACACCCAACCACTAGAGCAATAGATAACCAGATATCATCTACGATTAACTATGTAAACACTGATTACTTGCTATATTTCGAGTTTTTATCGCAAATAGTACACGAACCTGGCGTGATGATTGATCGACATAATCACATATAATGCTATTTGTGGTAGTGCGATATGTCCTTCAACTTTTCAGAATGACGAGACTACCGGTAAATATCCTTACATAGAGCTTTAGAAATTTCGGTCGAATCTATTTTTCATGGTAAAGTGTTCATTTCGAGATAAGAGTTAACGGGAGGTACAGTGTACACAAGAATCATTGTGGGTAATCAATGGAAAATTCATCAGTCAGAATAGCTGTATGTGTTAGGAACATACGGCTATCCATCCATCCGACCACACGCCATGATCAGGACACGTTCTAGTGAATGTAGTTAGAGCAGAGGACAGAAAGGGTGTGGGTGTGGGCGTGTTTGGAATCGAGAAGACGACTAGCATTCACACCCACACCCTAAGGGTACCTCCAAATAGTAAGACATAAGAATTTAAGGGTATCTTCAAATAATAGCAGATGAGGATCCAAGGGTACCTCTAAATAGTAGGACATGAGAACCTAAGGATACTCGCATAAATAAAACATAGATCAGTTAAGCATATACCCAGTGACACTGGTACCTAGTTCCAGTCCCAGAACTGGCACTGGTGCATGCTAGTGTGAATCCTGGGAGTGCGATGGAAATCCTAGGAGTAAGATGGGAATCCCAGGAATACGATGGAAATCCTGGGTGTACAATGGAAATCCCGGGAGTACAATGGGAATCCTTGAACTACGATGGAAATCCAGAGAATTCCGGGAGTACGAAATCCACCGTTTCCCCCTAGGCAGAATTTGTAACTTCAGACGGAAAAAGGTCTTGTAAGAACGTGTTTGAAAGAAATGTGAGTTGCTGCTTGCGATGACCGACAATATTAATGATCGAACAACTATGATGAGATCTTAACCATTATTTCTTTCACAAAGTACAGCGGTATTTTCCTATCTTTCAGAAAAAAGTCAGCAAATCCATAGGATGAACGCTATCTTGTTTATTTAATATTCAATATTTTTCTCAAAATGTCTTTTTAAATTGTTCAAATAAGATTTTCCTCAATATACTACGTTCAAATAGAATTTTATCATTAGCAAAATTGATAAAAATTAGCTATACGATTCTGCCATTGTTTTTCGTTTACTTCTTTTTTAATTGTTGCTATCTATTTTCTTTTTATATTCTAACTATCCATTGTTTTATTTAAATACTTAATTTTTACTTTTGTGCTGATTGTAATGCAGAGCCCTGATGAGTGTTTATATTTAAATAAATAACACGAAACACGTCGGCGAATTAACTCTGCATTTTCTTGATTAACAAGCACACGACTTCAAAAAATTATTTATTTTTTGACAAAAACATCGATTCCTGAACAGCAAAAATAGAGAATAGCAGATTGAACTTGTCTTTTCGTCAAGAGATAGGTCAGTCTGTTTTCGATTGATTGCTATGTAAAGGGTTTTTACATGCCTGCCCATTTACTCGTGGGGTCCCAAGTCTTGCATCCTTTCCCATCATCCGAAGCGCGGAAGCATGTACGCCTACATCCATAGTAACCTTTGGCGTTACATCCCTTGTGAACACAATCATAGGGATCTCCTGCGACACCATTTTGTGCGATACCCTTTTCTCGTTCCATCCATTCCCACACGTATCCAAAACCAGGATCGCACTTGGAATGCAACGACTTTGTAACATCACCGATAGTGTTGCCTCCTGCACATGTACCGGATCCGGTGCTCCTACATTCCAATACGATAAGACTTTGTGCGTTGACTACACTGAATAAGGCTGCTGCCAGAACCACAAACGAATAGAGTTTGATAAACATGATTGGATTTTGTTGAACTAAATAAAATATTTTTAGAAATAAGGTGATTGTTAGCATGCGCAGAAATTGAGCATGTATAAAAAGATCCAATCTTACCTTTAGTTTGAAGTACGAAAAAGAGTGGCAGAAGAAAGCAGAAAAGAAAGCAATCGGGCGAGGCTCGGTGCTTAGATTAGGAGTGTCAGGATTCTCTATTTCCTAGGGTTCCGTTCCCAAGGAACGGAAACTCACTTCACAAACCATTTTGATGCATTTTTAAACACAATGGAATATTAATACACCCTTTTAATGTTTTTTCTCACAAAGTTAGTCTGGGTTTCGAATTCTCGAGAACGAAAAATCCAAGTGGGTTCCTGATTTCCAGGAACGGAGAACCCTCTTGGATTCCCTGTTCCCGAGAACCCGAAACCGATACTAACTTTGTGCGAAAAGGCATTAAGAGGTTATATGAATATTTCATTATGTTTAAAAATGCATCAAAATGGTTTGTGAAGTGGCTTTCCGTTCCTTGGGAACGGAACCCTAACATCTCTAACTGGGACTAGCATAATAAAAGTTCACCAGGACCAGGCCAGAACCGGAACTAGGAGACAAAAAATTTTTACTAAATTTTCTGTGATTTTTGGCAAATTATGTTATAAACCATGTTGTTTGTTGTGTAAAACAATCAAAATAAGAGTAATTAAACATTTTAAATACTTAAAATGAATAAATTCTGAAGAATTTCTTTTCAGACCGGAATCAAAACCGAGACCGAGACTAAAAAACATGACAACCCGGACCAGAACCAAAAAAAGTCGGTTCCGCACATCTTTAGTTCAGAATCATCGACCTGGGCATAGCACTATTTAATAAACATCTATAGCTATTTGAATACTTACTAGTTATATATTTTTCTACAATATACTCTTGTGCGTAGCCATTTATTCTCAAGCACTATTCAAATATTTGCCAGCTATTGGTTAATCTTGAATTTATTTTCTCATGAATAGCTATTTATTCTCAAGCACTATGTAAGAAGTATATATAGTTATTTAAATATTTACCAGCTATTTATCTTGAATTTATTGTCACTTGAGTAGCTATTTAATCTCAAGCACTATTTAATCCTTTCTTGTCTGTAGTGAAATCTCATGCTTCTCAAGGACAACTTATTCAATCATATCAACCTTATGACCCCTAATATGTACTATTAAAGTTCGAATCAAATCTAATAAGCGTCAATATAGCGTGTGTGCTATAACATTTTGTATTCAACCAATGTCAAAAAACATATTTTTAAGAATAAAGATTAGATTCAGATTGTTGCTTGAAAGTCTACAATATATCATTCTTCCACCTGTCTTCATAATGATTAGTCGTATATCACTCTTTGCTTTTCATAATATCCACAGTCACGTGTGCATCCACCGACAGAATTCATTCAGTAAACAGTTACGCAGTTTGCCCTTACGTATTCCAGCCAAATTACATTTTAATCATAAGAGGCATAAATCATGTCCTTGTATCTATAAATATTTATTATTACATGTTATACAGACGAGCTAATGAATGCATACATTGATCATCACCACAAGACCAATGAGATGGTATACATAAATGTTCATCCCAATTAAAACTTCTTGATTCAACCAAACAACCTAGCTGATTAACAATATCTTCATCACTATGATCCATACATTCACGAGATGATTCAAGCTAGCCTTCAATAATAGACATGTACGTCTTTTATTAGAGAGGAAAGGAAATAATACTTTTGTGAAACATGATTTTTTAAGATTATTCAACCTTTTAGCAAGAAAAGTAAACGTGCCCCGTCTCTTCTATAGAGCGGACTATGGATTGTGGATGTGTAGCTTATGTCTGGGTGTCTGTCATTTCTATACTCTCATCCTGATTGTTCATGTTGTAATAAATAACATAAAATGCTCAT